GAGGCGCTCGTCAGTCACCCCTGACTTCAGTTCCCCCAGGAACTCCTGAGGGGCGATCTGATGGCTGCTTCGCACACTGCCCTGGGGAAGGAGAAGATGGATTAAAACAGAGCAAGACAACACACAGACAGATAAAGACAGAGACACATACAGACAGACAGAGACACATACAGACAGACAGAGACACATACAGACAGACAGAGACACATACAGACAGACAGACACGCATACAGACAGCCAGACACAGCCTGACAGACAAACACACACAGCCTGACAGGCAGACAGACAGACAGGCAGACAGGCAGACAGGCAGACAGACAGACAGGCAGACAGGCAGACAGACAGACAGGCAGACAGACAGACAGACAGACAGACAGACAGACAGGCAGACAGACAGACAGACACAGCCTGACATGACACACACACACACACACACACACACACACACACACACACACACACACACACACACACACACACACACACACACACACACACACACACACACACACACACACACACACACACACACACACACACACACACACACACACACACACACACACACACACACACACACACACACACACACACAGTCTGAAAGACAGACACACACAGTCTGACAGACAGACACACATATACAAACAGCCACACACAGCCTGACAGGCAGACAGACAGAGACACACACAGCCTGACATACAGACAGACAGACAGACACACACACACACAGTCTGACAGACAGACACACACAGCCTGACAGGCAGACAGACACACACACACACACAGTCTGACAGACAGACACACACACAGCCTGACAGAGTTCAAGTTAAATGAATGCACCCACACACTTTCACAGACACACAAAATAAGTCAAATATAGAGCATGGCATTTTATCTGGAGCATGTTAAATGCTAAATATCTAAAGCTTTCCACTCCCAGCTAGAAAAGCACCAATAATAAGTGCTCTAAATGGCGCCCTATTGTGATGCAGTGCACTACTACAGAAGCAGCTCCTGTTTAAAGTAGAGCACTGTGTAAGGAATACAAAGTCATTTGGGACACATCAGAGATCAGGAAAACAGCACTGCCAAAAGTGTCTTCTAGATGCCATGTAAGAACTACACCAAACGCGTGCTTGTTGGGAGTTGCAAATTGTTGTCGTGTTCAGCAAGAGTTGCCGCATAATGAATTTATAATTCTTGCAAAATGGCATTTCATATTGAAATTAATGTCTGTAAATATTTACGTTTGGGGAAAATTAGTTCCATGATTTGACAATATCTTGAATATTTTCATGAATAATTGTATTTAATTATTCAATTGTTTTCACCAAAGAGTCATCTCACGCGAGCAAGAAAAAACCCATGCATTTTTCAATTTCCTTGTCGATCCTCTTTTGTCTTTAAATATCTCAGTGTCTCTCCCCAGACTGTTAGGTTTCTGTTTCCTACCTTCACACAGGACAATACATTGATCTGTACCTCAAAATTACGAGACAGAATCAATAAAGGGACTGTGTTGAACAATGGGAGTCGATGAAGACACAGAGCGCATTCCAAATAGCACACTATTCCCTACCCTATCCAGCTTCTGACCAGAGCTCTGTTAGTGCCCAATAAAGGAAGAACGGGTGCCATTTGGAATTGACCCAAAGCATGTGTCTGTAGGTCAATATAAACAAGAGGTTTTTCTCTACTCTTTCTGATTAAGAACAAATAAAACCTTCCCTTCTCTCTCTTCCTCCCACTGTCACTCCTCTCCTGCAACCCCCCACCTGTCAGTCTGAATGTCCGTCTGTCTGAATGTCTGCCCGTCCGTCTGAATGTCTGCCCGTCCGTCTGAATGTCTGCCCGTCCGTCTGAAAGTCTGCCCGTCCGTCTGAATGTCTGCCCGTCCGTCTGAATGTCTGCCCGTCCGTCTTAATGTATGCCCGTCCGTCTGCCCGTCCGTCTGTCTATCCACAGTCTGTGTGTGTCCCCCTCTCGTGGTGGTAGAACATGGAACATACATCCGCTCTACACAATGTTATAACCATCGGGCTCCCAGAACGCCCCCTTATTCCCTGTATACGACCCCAGAGCCTTGGGGCAAAGTCAGTGGACTAAATAAGTAGTAGACTGTCATTTGGGATTCAATGTGATCCATAGCACCTGCCTAGTCCTAACCAAACAGATCTGTCTTTCCAGCTGCTAATTACCTTATTGGCGTAGCAACAAGCTCAGGGGACAGGTCTACTAGTAGGTAACCTAGAATCACTCCTGATCCCGCCCTCGTTTACATATTTTCTAAACTCTTTCCTGAGTCATAAATGGCACCCTTATCCACAGACTACATTAAACGAGTGCCTCAGGTAAGCACTAGGTGTTGAGCATCAGCTGTTTGGGGACTAGACCTACTCCATTGTTCTGTTGTGTTATCTGGTCCAACCGCCCGGACCACACCGACAGAACAACGACATCCCAAAGACTCATTTTTATATGCTTGAATTGATTGGTCCTCTGTGGCAAAATCGAATTGAAAAATCAAGCAACATTAGTTCACTTAATGTGTGAAACATCAACAGTTTCCTTCACCGCCTTCCAATACTTCCGCATATGACGAACCGCTGAAAGGCTGAGTGCTTCTCAGACATTCGACATCAAAAGCAACTGCTAGCCTTGATAATCACAGAAGTGGCCGTTTGTTAAATCTTTTTTAATGTATGGAACGAATACGGGGAATTGGATAATTTCCAGCAAAACGGGAAAATTAACTGACCGTCTGCACGGAGACACAAATAGAGTACCTGATTATTGAATGAACACAGCGAAACTAACGAAAAGTACTTGGTTCCGTTCAATGGATGAAATGAAATTGTAAGCACCAGTCATGACAATACATGCACATCTCAAAGTGAAATGTACGGCGTGAAATAGAGTTGAAAGTCTATCTTCCAAAAGGCAGGTGTTCGCATATAAGCCAAACTTATTGTGGAGCGCTCCTTCTGGAGCCGCCTGAATAGTCAGTCAACTCAGAGAGAGAGTGTTCAAACGGGGCAAGCGCTTCGCTGTGAATCCGTGGCATGTTGCTGGGCCGTATCGACGTCCCAGCGAGTCATTATCCACCTCCAGAACAGCCCCACTCCCTGCTGCTGAAATTGAGTTGAAAGGCAGGTGGCGTCTTTAGATTCGTTTTTCACTAACACAGCTTTAATCAGCAACGAGGTATGCATCTGTTCCTCTACATATTAGAGGGAGAGCTTCAGAGGCAATGTGACTATCCCAAATGACAGCCTTTCATAGAGGGCACCGCGACCATGTTCCCTAGAACCCCCATAGGCTGGTGATCAAACTCAGTGCACTAGAAGGAGAATATGATGCAATTGCGGGGTGACAGAGTGTGAGGAGGATATAGCCTGTGCTCAGTGACAAGGAGCGCGGAGTCAGGGGAGATGGGCGTGTGAAAGGAATGCATTTCCAGCAGTTTGATTTGTTGTTGTGAGAGGTCTTCCCAGACACTGCTCACTAATGAGGAAATTGATTATGCGTGATTAGTACAAGCAGATATAATTTTTCAAAAATTGGTTTATCTGAAAATGCAATGGAGGGGAACAAATTGCTTTAGTTTTCTGCTTTACGGAGAAAAATTACATTTCCCATTAAAATGTCTGGCCGTGCTGTTTGCAAGCTTCACAGGAAACCAGCCAGGCTTTCTCTCACTTCCTCTGAGACACACAGAAGCACACGGTGAATGTAAGAAATCCAAGTATTTCCTCCACTGATATTTAAAGTACTTCAATTCAAAACTTAAATTAGTAGGAGCTGTCTGTGTCTCCAGAGAAAATGATTTCCAAGGGGTTCAGTGGTGTGTGTAGTATTTTAGCAAGGGATCAGTATTCACCCAAATTCAGATCCTGACAACGGTGATGCAGGGTAGATAAAAGATGGGAGGAACTATTTGTACTCTCAATGTGCCACTTGCACAGATGTTCACTGCTTGTATTACCGTCCGCACATTAGCAATTTGAGTCTTGGAACCCAAGTGTGGTTCTGGGAAGGATTAAAGCAGACAGAAGTGGGTGAGATTCGACCCGGAAATACATCTCACAGTGGCACAGAACTTACAAAGTCAATGAAAAAGGTTGGGGGTTTAAATCCTAGAAGACATAACGCTCTGGTCTGGGGCAAAGGTGTTGGCGTTTCAGCAGCTATAGATGCCACCTCTAATCACCCCTGGCGTCTGTATATCACAGACAATGTGTGAGCCCAGTACCCTCCCCCGGCCAGGCACCAGGAAGTGCTACAGAAATATATTCTTACTACATTTTTACTTCTTCTCCAGTAGGCTTCTCTCTGGCTAGTGTGCAACTTCAGCCAGGTCCATAAATAAACTCTGGAGGAGTCTCGTTGGCTCCCAAATGGCATCTATTCAGGTCAAAATGAATGCACCAGAGGAGGGATAGGTTGTCATTAAGGAGAGACCCAGGGAGTCTGGGTCGACTGGCTGTGTCAGTGGGCAGGGAGAGCCTGGGAGCTTCGGTCCATAAAACTAAAGGCCTTCTCCCCCCCTTCATCCAGCCCCGATTGTGGTCTAAATCACGGAGAGTAAAACTATCAGCAGGTTGAGCTTCTCCAAACTAAAGCACATATATGTGCACTTCCTTTTTTCACCAACGGCAATGGGGAAGACCAAAAAAGAAAGAAAAAAGAAAGCGTGAAAACGATTTGAGAGGCCGCCATAGGCATGCCCGGCTCATGAGATGAGACAAGGAGGAGTTGGTAGCTCAGTGGTAAAGTGCCTGCTTTGTATGTATGGTATCCTGGTTTCCTATTGGAGGAGTTGGTATCAGTGGTAAAGTGCCTGCTTTGTATGTATGGTATCCTGGGTTCCTATTGGAGGAGTTGGTATCAGTGGTAAAGTGCCTGCTTTGTATGTATGGTATCCTGGGTTCCTATTGGAGGAGTTGGTATCAGTGGTAAAGTGCCTGCTTTGTATGTATGGTATCCTGGGTTCCTATTGGAGGAGTTGGTATCAGTGGTAAAGTGCCTGCTTTGTATGTATGGTATCCTGGGTTCAATCCCCAGCTTCTGGGGACACTAGGTCAGAAAATGAGGTGGAAATTGAGCTGCACCTCCTACCCTTCTGAAAAATTGATGATTGCATATTTTCTACAGATCACGAACTCAGAATTTAGAATCGATCAGAAATTGGTAAAGTACTATTTCTGATAGAATTTTCTCTTTGGAATTAACCACATCAATTATTGGAAAGTGCAATTAGAGCAGCAAGACTTGTGACCTTTCACCACAAAACATTATCCATTTCCTCAATTCTCATTACAAATTAATAGCACATTTTTCATCACTGCACATAGTATACAAGTATCAAAAAAATCCCTTTATTCTTTTAAACCATGTGTGTAATACCCACTTAAAATTTAAGACGTATTTATTTCATTTTCCTGTTTGCCATTTATTAAAGCATGTCGCTATTGTTATCATCCCTGAATAAGAAAATGTTTCCCATGCCAATAAAGCTCTTGAATAGAATAGACAGAACGAGAGAGACAAAAAAATTGGGAGTGACAGACAGAGAGAGAGCAGAAAACATCAACAGCTTTCATCTTGTCTGTATGATTGAAGGGAGGTGTGCTTGGCTGACGATTAATTCAAAAGCCCTGTTCTGAATTGTGATACGGGAGTAATGTGCCGGGTTCATATCCCTGGTGCCGAAGCACACAGGGATCACTTTTAATAATAACAGTAATATCCTCGCCATCTCTACCCTGCTGGATTCACAAAGCACCGAAACCACAGCCACCGGGAGCACCAGGGGGGAAAAATAGTCCCCAAATCTCATCAGATGTAGATGGATCCAGCAAACACACCATTCACCCCGTGGCAGTTTCCACGCGTACATAAATATAAGCAGAACTTTACAGTGCAGCCTCATTAGACCAACAGGCTTGGTCGACGGCGGACGGTGATCCATCTAAGAGGCACTAAAGGCTACAGTGCCAGTGTATAATGGCAGAACCGCACATGTTTCCTGAGTGAGTAAATAGACCTGTTCTTTTAAAGCCGGGGTGGGAGTTCTTAATCACCCACCTTAACTAGGTTGAGTCCCAAACGGCACCCATTAGCTCCTTTGCCAAAAGTAGCTCCGTATAGGGAATAGACAGGCATTAGGGACGCAAACCTAATCCTTCAAAGTTCCTCCAGACCAAAGCATCAGAAGGAATCAGCGCAAAGACCCCCCCACCCCTCCTGCATGAGTATAAAGCGTCGTCATACATTTATCTAATACAAGTTCAGTCGTGGAGATTCGGACGTCAAATTCTTTCTTCAGCTCGGGATCAAAGCTGCCAAGCAAAACATCCTGAAGCTAGCCCTGGGTCAGAGTGGACGTATGTAGCGAGTTCACAGGAGAATTCTCCTAATTACTCTACTAAACATTGATTTTACAGCAGCTGCCTCTCATCCTAAAACAGTCTTAAATTTAAAAGAAATGGACCAGAGATGCATTCTACATTTATACCCATCACCACCAGGACGGCTCTATTTGTATTCCCCGCGAGGCACAGATGATTGATGCATTCTATACATTCCTTCTCTATAGGGCTTTAGTGTAACTGTACAAATTAATAAACACATGACGTTATATTTTCACTGTCGAATGGATTTCACCTGGGTGACACCAACCTGTCCAATTAGATTAATTAGGCTTGTCTAGTCAATACGGCAATCAAAGCCAACTTCCATCATCCTCCTCGAGCTTCTGGCTATAGAGGCTCAGAAAATATGCAAGAGCATAATCATGAAAAGGGGCCTCTCAGGAAATTGATCGGACATTTTAAGCACAGATCAGGCTGTCAGGCAACTAAAATTCAACAACCCATGTGTAATGGCAATAGTAAAACAGTTACGCGTTTTCCACCAACTTCTGTCCCCTTACCCGGTGGTGTGTGTGCGTATATATTTGTGTTGCCTTCTAGTGATGACTGATACTCTGTTACAACCCTGTGCTTAGTGATGGAATAATAGACTGACTGATGCTCTGAAGTCCCCCACTCTGATTGGTGGACGTGTCGGCCTATCGTTTGTAAGAGTTGGCCTCTAGGGCGGGCAGAGTTCACCTAAACACTGCAACAGTGATCTGTCGGAAAAGAGCAAGCGGACGACCGTGGCCAACATGAGCCCTAATGGCCGACGTTGCTGAAAACCTATGTTCTGTTTGTGTAGTGTGAGGAGGCTTGGGTGTAAATGTACACCTCCAGGAGAGGGCGCTGGTCTATCATAGGGCTTCACCAACAACCCAGCTCACTAATGAAGAGTGCCTGACAACACTTAATAGCCAGTATTTTTTTACAGCCGCAACTCCACCTGGGGAAAACCGCACAACCTTCTGATTACAGAACGGGTTGGTAAAATCCTGGATTTGCCAGGTATGTATTTTTCTGGACAAGATTTTGTGCCAAATAAAAAAATAAAAATGCTAAGATATGCAGTTAGGCAGCACCAGCAGGACAGTCTACTGGTGCCAGACTGTCTGTTAGCGGTAATCACATATCCAGGAAAGTGACAAGAACCGGGTCTGAAAGCACAGCGTAGCAGGAAGGCAGACCGGCAGAGCGGGCCATCACCAGGTGTTGCCAGACTTCTGTTAACACAACAAATCATGTCTCTCTGTAAATAACAACAGGTAAACCTAGTGGGACGGGGGAAACAGCGGAACCTACATCGGGCATACATCATGTGCCAAAACCTGCTCGCATCTCGCCAGGGAGGGATTAGCCATCATCAAAAAGCCCCCCGTCAGAAACCAGGCATATCAATAATTCTACACCCTACAGGGGGAGCAGACACAGAGCTGAGGTGAAAGAAGGACCGTTCTCTCCTCTGCCCTCCCTCTCCGGGAGCCTGTAATTTGTTCAGTCTGTCTCGCTCCCATCCAATTATTTTCCTCCCTAAGGTGGGAGGCCTGGCCGATTGGAGTGGTCGTTGTGGTACATGCCTGAACCACATTAGCCTACAACCGCTCACTCAAGACGCCCAGTCACACTCTAGATGGTCCAGAAATGTGTTCTTTAATGATCAGAGTTGAAACTTTCGCCCACCAGGGAATGCTGACCGCGTGCTTGGCGAACGCAAAATCAAACGTGCATTTTGAGTGGGAAAAGGAGAGTGTGGTCAGAGACTTAAATATGGCTGGAGTAAGTATGTGTCCCAAATGGTCAAATGTTGTGCACTACATTGGGAGAATACCAACTGTCTTGGTAACCTATAATGATGTGTCAATTGTTACTGTGATCACTGTGAGTGTTTCATTGCTATTATATTATTATTAATATGAAATGTGCAGGGTGTTCATCTGGCTAAATTGCTCTTTGAATACAAACGTGAATACAAAGCGCATTTAGAAACAGGTATTTCAACTTCAGTTTAATAGTTGCAAATTCAGTTTAATAATGAATAATAACTAATGAACAAACAAATTAACGGCAACAAATGACTAGAGCCAAGTTCTTTACTTGCGTTAAATATTTCTACGAAAATAGTATTTGTCATGCTGGAATTCATCCAAAAAACTGCCCCCAGGTTAAATCCATAGAATTCATTGGGAATGAGGAAAGCGAAGACATTTCTGAGGATTTCCTACCAAGCTGTTACAAAAATAGCTCAAGTGTAGCGTGAATTACACCAACAACCACCCAATGTTGCAAAACATTGAGGACGACTGTGGAGTTTCCACAGCATTCATGGCCTTAGCCATCACATCACTGACCAGCAGGTGGCGCTACTGCAGAGAAAGTTAACCAGAAGTACCCTGGAGAGCTCCGCAAAGCACACATCATCTTAGGCCAAGTCATAGTGCTAAGTCTTCCTCACCTCGAACCATATTCAAGTCAAAAGTCTGCCAGATTGTGTAATTCTCAGTAACGCCATAGCGTCCAGAGGTCTTCACGTACATAGACCATATGCCTAGTTTCAGTCTAACAGCCATTCAGAGTTGGACAACCTTTTGACATTTTCACTACTGAACAGAAAATCCTCAAAAATAATCCACGATCAGACTGGGACTAATGAACATATTTTAAAAGCGCCAATAATTGCATTGACATAATGACCGTTTAGAAAGGATGCCGAGGTGAAAGCCTCAGTGTCGTGTGAAGCAACAGAAATAAGAAAGGAAAAGCCCGCTCCAAAACAGTAGGTAGGCGAGCCACCAGCAACATCAAGGGGGTGTGAGTAATAAATGTGTGGAGCTGTGCTCATAGCGTACTCAAGGGTGCTCAAAGACAGAGTGCACCCTGGCCCAGAACTCATTTGTTGTGCCCCCCTCCCCAGCCTACACTGTGATTCAGCACTTTCTCGACTAAAGCCAGCCAGCATATTTCTCAACCCACCCTGGCTTCAGGAAAGTCCATTAAACAGTGCATAATTGAAAGACAAAATCACAGCCCTGCCACTTTCAACATCATTAACAGATAGCAGGCATCCAAAACACAGAAGAAGAAAAGAGAAGGAGAGTGGGGGTAAAAGAAAGGGGAGAAGGGGGATATAGAACAGGGTTACAAGAAAGGAAAGAAAAGGATGGATAAGACCAGAGGAGAGGAGGGGTAGATAATCCAATTCATCAACACTGACAGCGTCACCTTAATGTACAATGTAGATGAGGCAGTGAACCAGCTCAAATCCTCTTTTAGCAGACCGCTGGTAATCAAGAGACAGAGCGCTACATCTGACAACAACAGGTCCCAAATGGCACCCTCCTTCCCTTAAGCAGTGCACTGTAAAGAAAACAGTCTGGATCCTTAACCACTCCGCTAATGTCTCCAATGACGTGGATTATATCAGCATCTCCAGAAACCTGCTTATCTCTCACCCTTGGGATTTTGGAGTGGGCTTTTATCATGTCACATCACGGGTATCATTCTAAGATCTATATTCAATTAAACGCTGAGCGGGCGGGCGAAGAGAGTCTAGGAGAGGAGCAGAGGCGGTGAATAAAGAAATAAAAAACAGTCCCATTAGTCTGTTGAATCTCCATCTTAGAAATCGAATCAGGCACCAGTGACCTTCAACTAGGC